GTACAGTAGGGTCTGTGGAACTGTTCTTATCCGTGTCTACAGTGAGAGAGAACAGCAAGTGGGTAGCAATATGAAGAACTTCTAGTGTGATGAGGGAAACTGTAGCACGATAAATCAGACCTGAAGACAGATATTGGGGTTCAAGCTGTTTCTTTCAGACCTGGGTCAAGTTTATGTAGTCAGTGTGGCCTTGAACTCACAGAGATTCACCTACCTCTTAATCCTGAATCCTGGGACTAAAGGTGTGCACCACCACCTCCTGGGTTCTATGTCTGGCTAGTATGGCTGCTTTGCTATTTTCATCTCCAGTGGCTTTAATAAATCATAGACAATATATCACCACAGGAAACAGCGTATATGCCTTTAAGGTGGTTACCAAGAAGGATGCAGGCAAAGCTGTCATTTTTAAAAAAGATAAACATTACCAAAGAATAATCTTGTGCTCTTCTCTGGGATAATAGGCAAGGCGCCCCGACAATAAAGCCGTATCAGGAAGGCTGCAACTTGTAAAAAAATGGAAAAGAGAGGGCTTAGATGGAAGATGCCAACACAGACGGTCATACTCCAAATTAGCCACCTAAAGAAATAGCTCCCCAGTGTTGGCCTCAAAGATCATAATGTGACATAAATGTGATCCAATCATAGGGCTTAGGTGGGGCAGTTAATATTTCAATCTGGCAGCAGAGCCATTCAAGTTATACTGCTTGAGCAGCTCAACAGATTCAAGAGTGTTGGTCATGATGAGTTGAACTAAAGTTCTAGAAAAGTCGCTGAGGCCAGGCAATATGTGGGCCATTGCATGTAGCTGAGGAGGGGACCCCAAATTACAGCAAAGACCTCATGATGATGGAGATGTCAGGACTGTGAGGCATTTGCTGAGGAAAGTTGCAGTCATAGAGTAGAGCTGGACTTATAAGAGAGGCTATGTTAGTTGCAGGGAGCAATGATGAGGGAAAGGGCAGTGGACCAGGATTCTGTCATCACCCCAGATTCTGTACGTGGAATTGTGGAACTTGGTGTTTCCTCTTCCCTTGTTTTGGCCCAATATTTCCATACTGTGCCCCAACTGCTCCATTTTGGAATAGAAATGTTGACCCTGTGATACTGTATATTGGAAATTCATAGCTTATATTATTAATTTTTATTTTTGAAATGAAATATTGTGTCTGTGAGTGTTTTTCTTGCATGTCCATCTGTTTACTGTATGTATGCTTAGTATCCAGGGAGGCATCAGATCCTGGAGTCCCTGGATTCAGATTTTCTGGAACTGCAGTTATAGGCATTTTTGAACCATCACTGGGTGCTGGGAATTGAAGCCACATATTCCATAAGAGCAGAAGATGCTACTCCTCCATCCCCATAACTGCCCTGGCTTTACAGTGCTCACAGCTCGGAGGAGATGGCTTGAGCATCAGAGAATACAGCACTCACAGTGCTGATCAGTTTTGGAGATGCTAGATTCTGCCGACTTTAAAAAGATTGAACAAGATGCATTTTCTTAACATTATGAAACCGCCACGAGCCTTTGAGAACTGGGCATGTAAATTTCCTGACTTAAAGGGATGTGTTTGCTTGTCAAGTTGACAAGGGGTGTACTTGGAATAGGTAATGTTGATTGCCAACTTCAACATGATTTAGTGTAGAAGGAGTTTCTGTTCTGCCTGGTCCCACAGCCATTTAGTCCCAAATAAACATGTAGAGGCTTATATTAATTATAAACTGTTTGGCCAATGGCTCAGGCTTCTTATTGGCTAGCTCTCTCTTAATTAGTTAACCCATTTCTACTAATCTAGGTATTTCCATATGCTCTTGGCTTACCGGAAAATGCCCTGACCTGTTACTCCTTTGGCAGCTACTTGATGTCTCTGTGGCAGCCCCTCTCTGCCTCCCTCTTCCCAGAATTCTCCTAGTCAGGTGGCCCTGCCTATACTTCCTGCGTGGCTACTGGCCAGTCAGTGTTTTATTCATCAACCAATAAGAGAAACATATATTAACTACATACAGAAAGACATCCCCATCAGTTTAGAATAAGGTAGGTGGCACATTCTGGGTATGTCTGGGAGGGCATTTCCAGAGAGATTAAATTGAGGCGAGAAGACCACCCTGAGTGTAACCAGTCCTTGGGACAGGACCTGATGGTAAATTATGGGAAGAAAGGAGTTGAGCACCCGCATTTGATATTTTCCTCTTTGTGGTTGTAGTAATGATGTGATTCTCAGCCTCACATTTCTGTGCTTCCAACTATTATGGATCATATCATCACACAGTGAGGTGAATTACATTATTCCTTCTTTACGCTATGTTTGCTAGGATTTTGTCACAAAAATGTGAAAACTAATTCAAGGTAGTTTTCTGGAACTTTCTAACCCTAGGATGGTCACGCTTAGCCTCTGGTTTGTGTTGCTTCAAAATTACAATGCGAGTTAAATGCATAATGGTTATAATTAAAGTCTGACAAAGTCGATGAACAAATTAGAAAAATAATCAGTACAAATAACAATTGGGTTTTAATGTTTCCATTTTGTGCAAAGCAATATTGAGGTTCAGAACATATAAAAGGCGTGGAATCATTGTGCCATGATGGATAAGTTTGGAATTTTTTGTGATTAATATTTTCATTCACTTGTTTATAAAAGTCATATGAAGGCTATATATCTCAATGGTAAAAACCCTAGACAGACATTCATTGACCCTGATCTTCACAAAGTAAATGAAAGCTACATGAATTCGGTGGTATCATGACTATCATCTGAATGCCCCCACAATTCATGCATCAAAACTTACTCCCAGTGTGATGGAATGAAGAGATGAGGCATTTACTCATGAGCGGTCCTGCTCTTGAACGAGTTAACACCTTGTGAAAGTTCAGGGGTCAAACCCTTGCACATTTCCATTTCCTTTACCACACAAAGACACCATAGTGGGGGCACTAACATTTCAGGAGAGACCCAGCAATCACCCGCAATCAAAGGTACTACAACTTTGATTATGATTTTAAAGCCCCCAGCGCTGAGGGGAAATCAATTGCTGCTCTTTATATATTACTCACTCTGTGATATTTCCTTATAATATCACAAATGGACTAGGACATCATCCCTGTTTGATAAATGGAGAAACTAAATGTTGACAGGTGAAGTAGCTTGTCCCAAAGCATACAGCTGGAAGTGATGAATGTGTTATTACAAGTTTGCTTGACTCTCCCTGAAGGCAGGGAGGGAGGGAGTATGTGTGTGTGTGTGTGTGTGTGTGTGTGTGTGTGTGTGTGTGTGTGTGTGTGTGTTTTGGTGTCTCTGAAAATTCAGAATTTGCAATCATTAGAGGTAGAAGTCCTATGGACTTCTGCTATCTGTTGAGGATTTTTGATTTGTCACCACTGTAAATTAGTTTTCTGCTTCTTTCAAGCATCGCAACAGACTTAACCCCCGCACTCCACATAGATCTTGTTTAACCAGGAGTTTGGATAAGAATGTTCTGGATGGATGTTCAAGGATCGCTTTACTACAGATTTCAAATGAAAACTCAAGAAGTTTTGGGGCTATACTAAATGAACTAGCCTGACACATAAATACAGAAAGTCTTTTGTATTACACTACTGTTAAAACATCATTATGTTATTAAATATTTACATCTTATCATGTACCCAGTGCAGTACTGAAGTACTTCATGAATAACAAGTCATTTAATTCTCCCAGGCCGCCCGGGTAGGTGTTGCTACCATTCACGTCTTGCAGAGCTGGTAGCTGGAATAAAACGAGGTTGAAGAACACGCCCGAAGCCCCGCAGCCAGAGCGCAACCCAGACTCCTAACTACTTTCATGGCGCAGCCTCTTTGTAAAGCTGCCTTCATCTCTCCTCCCTTCCGGGTTGTATTCTCATCCTTAGAACGCTGCCTGGCAGGCTGACCTTCAGATTATAGCTACGCCTTGCTCACTCTGTTTCCCGACTGTACTTATCTTACATAAAATCCCTCCCGGGGATTTGTAAAAATAATTCTTTTCTTTCCCTTTAAAAGAACAGAACTCTGGTGCAGATCCCGGGGTCATGCCGGCTGGAGTCTTCCACTCTCCCGTCCTCGCTAGGATTGCATGTTACCCTGCGTCTGCTCTCTCTTTATCTCTTTTAACTTCCCGTGCCGTCAGTGTGGTTTCCGTACAGGCATGGAATCTATAATCGCCAAAGAATAATTTCCCTCATATTATTTTACATTTCTGCAAATGCTTTAAATAGTAGATGCTTTAATGTTCTATTTTAAAGAAATGGCAGGCCCTCCAGTTAATCCTCTTGCAGTTAGATTTATTTGCTATCTGCACCCCAAAGATCAAGCTTTTTCAAATATCAGCAGTGGGAAGTGTGGTAATGTTTCTGGCAGTATAGATACTATAGAAACTTGAGAGTTTGTAAAGATTATTTTCCCGAAATTGAAATCGATTATTCCCTGTGAAGGTTGAAAAGCATCAACTCTTTTATTATTTTAGTGAATGGAATGACTTTCATTTTGGTGGTGAAATGGCAGTTCTATGTAATACTTTAAAAATGTACTTAAGGTTTTTCTTCTTTTCCCCTTCCCCTGCTAAATGTCCATTTTCAAAGGGATGATCAATGGCTTGTCAACTTACAGTATAGCTGATGTAAAAAGTTTGTGATGGCAACCCTAAATGTTTTATCACCTGTCAGAAATTTCAATGATAATAAAAAGTAACATCCTTTAAATTAATTAGACATGATTAGGGCTTCAAGCCCAGAGGCCACATCATTATGCAAAAATTATAACAGTTAGCTATTTAAATTACCATTAAATTGATTCTTATGTTAATTGATATTTCACTTATAACCTGAGATTTAATTTATATAAGATTTCCAGAAGTAATAAGGTATAATGAAATATTATTTTGGAAAATTCTTTTGAGAGGAAAAAAAACACACTGAAAAACTGATTTCTTATATTTGGCTTCAGGTACAATTTCCCAGTTAGAACAGAGATGCCTTTTTGTTTCTTATAGGGCTGCACGGCTTGCATTCATCTCCTATATCAAGAGGATGTGTTCTTCCTAGGTGAGCAGTGTATTATTTTCTCCGGGGATGCAGTAAACACGGTGATTTAGGCATGTGAGATGCAGTGTAAGCTCTGACTTATTCTGGGAACACAGGGGCAGTGCGACAGTGCACATAGGTGACTTCTGAATACCGAGAATATTTTGTATTTCAGAGAAGAGCTGACACTACAGTTATAGGGGATGTCCTTTTGTATATATGCTTCTCTTGTTGGTTGATGAATAAAACACTGCTGGGCAATGAGGCAGGAAGACAGGCTGACTGGGAGACAAGGAGAATTCTGGGACCATGTAGACCACAAAGGAGTAAGAGGTCCGGACCCCTCTCCAGTATGATAAGACCATGTGGAAATACTTAGATTAATAGAAATGGGTTAATAATTAGGACAGAGCTAGCCACTAAGAAGCCCTAGTCATTGGCCAACAATTTAATGATTACTATAGCATCTGTGTATTATTTGGGGCTGAGAAGGGCAGTGGAACCAGGCAGGACAAAAAACCTTCAGTAACACCACAGACAAGAATTTGCTCAAGTATCACTCCACAGGGGTTTTGTTTTGTTTTTCGAGACAGGGTTTCTCTGTATTGCATTGAAGGCTGTCCCAGAACTTGCTCTTGGAGACCAGGCTGGTCTCGAACTCACAGAGATCCTCCTGCCTCTGCCTCCCGAGTGCTGGGATTAAAGGCGTGAGCCACCAATGCCTGGCCCACAGGGTTTTAATATATGGATGCTGTTAAAGTGACTAAGTGATGTTAACACACCAGTTTCCAAAAATGAGGAGTCAATTGTTCTTTTTAACTGTTTGAAAAAATGTCCTGCATGCATATCACATGTTTTCAGCTTAATTACTCTCCCCTTTAGACTTTCTGGTTCCTCTTCTGTCTCTCTATTATTTCATAACTTCAAGTATTATTTTTTTCCCAGTCCACTGAGTCCACCTAGTGTTGCCTTTATGTGCGTGGGTGGGAGGGACGTCACTGAGAGCAGGCATAGCCCTATCAGGGACCACTTCCTTGAAGACGACTGACTCTCCGTTCCCAGCATCCAGTGGTTCGTCAGCTGGAGGCAGGACTCTGTGAGCCCCTTCCCAGTCTTGCTGTGAATTTTGGTCGGCCTAACCTTGGCGCTGGTCTGATTTACGCAGCCACAGACGTGCCATAGCCGTATCAACTCCAGCCAATACTGTTTCACTGTAGCTGTCCACTCCCTCCGGCTCTCAGAATCTGTCTGTCCCCTCTTCTGTGATGGCACCACGCCTTTGTGGAGAGGGGTGTGGTACAGATGCCTCGTTTACAACTGCGGATTTCATACTGTCTTATTCTCAGCTTGTTGACCCATCGTGGGTATCTATATCTGTCTTGCTCATCGTCTACTGCAAAAGAAGTTATTCTGACAAGGGGTGGGAGATGAGTTCATCTATGGCTATGAAGTGGGGGGGGGAATTTAATCCAGTCAGCGGAAAATAGGATTAGGGTCTTCCTAGGGCCTTTGACCTAACAAGCCATAGGGTTTGGGGCCCGTTAACAGTATGAGGCATGAGTTCCAATCAGTAGAGTAGGCTTTATGTTCAGTCAGAAAGTGCTCGGTCACATAACATTTGTGCCACTCCAGGCCGGCTGGGCAAGACTACTGATGACTTCCCTCTCCCTGGCAGCACAGAGCAGTGAGCTCCATGATGTCTTCTTCGCCGATACTTTCTTCTGAGGACTTACTCCTGGCTTTCGCAGCAGCACATTTTTTATCTGGGACCTTTTCCTGTTGACATTTCGCAGTTGATTGCAGCTTTGCTTGGCTGGAGCTCCTTGTCTTTATCTTAATCTGCTTCCCCCCCCCCCCCGCACAAGGTGTTAGTAAGTTGATTTCTCTCTACTGTTTTTCTCTCTCTCCTCCCTAATTCTTGCTTTCTTCAGATGGCTCCACTTTTCCAGATTATCGTAGGAATAAAATTGTCACTCAAAACTGTGCGTCTTCGTGTTTCTGTCTTCGATGCCCCTGAGGTTTGTGCAGGTAGTTTTCATAGAGGAGGAACTTTTTAAAGTTTGTAATCGATTCTTTGTGAATTTCACATCATGTACCCCAATCCCATTCATCTCCCCATCCCTCCTTATCTGCCCTCTACCCCTGAAACTCTCCCCTCAAAAAAAAACTCTCAAAACCCCACCAAGAACCAGTCATACAAATAAAATCTTGTCTCTATTTGACAGAAACATGACTGATACTCTATAATAAAGAATATCAAGAAAATACAGTGTCAACAATAGAGACTTCATATCTATGGATTGGCACTTAAAAACTAGTTTTGGTAGGGAAATAGGTAGATGTCACCTTCACATTGCTTGTGGAATTGCAAATAATTTTTCTAAAATAAAAGTTTTACACATATCAAAATTCTTGATGGTGAAAACTTACCAGTTATAGTTCAATGGATGTTCGTTAATTAATAATTTAAGAGCCATTTCATGGAATCGTTTGCAGCACTGAAAGTGATGATGTGTGAAGACAGAAACTCATAATTCAATCCCTCAGGTGCTAAGGGCAGGAGGACCAGGGACTCAGGACCAGCATTTACAGCATTGCAAGTTTGAAGCCAGCCTACCCGTCTACATGAATCTCTCTCATAAAAAGGAAAGCAACAAAATGAAGCATATTTATCCTTAGCAAAATAGCAGGAAGCACATGAGAGAAAAGACAGTAACTTTATGGAATCAAATTATAACTAGATATCTACGCATCCCGCTATGTGTTAGGCATAATCATGTCCAGGTGGCAGACACATGTGAATGTAATTTAATCTTTGATGCTTACATGTTGAGACGAATAGTTGTGACAAAATTTACAACTGCATGTGAAAGTCATATCTAGCATCTTCAGCCCAACTGCATACTGCCATGTTAAGTATGGTGGGCTGGGATTTGATTGCCATCCAACTCATAGGCTGTAAGTGGCTGAACGGGGAATGTAGAGATGCCAAGTTCTAGAAAGAATTTTTTTTAATGTCACAGGAAGGCAGAGGACTTCAGAGGACTGGCATCTTCTAGGAAGCTTCTGATGTCTTAGACACTCAGCCCTCAATTGTCTGTGTCCACAGTTGAATTAAAGGTTTCTCAGATTTCACAGCTGGCCATCCAACGCCTCTTAGGTTCAGAGCCAGTACTCAGTTCTGAGCATAAAGCCATCTTATCAGTCAGCCACTCATGACTGAATAAATACCTGGACAATGACATGTAGGTATTTTATCTGATACCTATCTTGAGGTAGACTCTCAGTCATCTTGGGTTCTGGAAAATTAAATATCCAAAATATGTATTGAGTCTATATTTCAAGGAGCCAACTCTTTATATGGCCCTGGAGGAAACACCGTAATCCAACAACTTGTCCTTTTCTTCTGACAAGTCACTGAAGTCATTTGAGAAATGTAGCCATTTTCCACACATACTTCATTTTGAAGCACTGTAGTATGATTGGATTCTACAGCTACCTTGGATTCTGTCTCTGGGATATTTCATATTGTTTGTTCTCACAAGAATATTTTTCCATCCAGCCACTGGCATGAACCCCCGGCTTAACCTAGCACCCTCTGAACCCATCCCACTAAACAGAATACTTCTAATTCCATGTTCCTACAGCTCTCTGCTACTACTTTATGTTAGAAGGGATTTTTTCCTCCACAGTTACATAAACTCACAACCTGACATATAGCTCCACCAGTGTTTGTTTTGCAAAAAGCGGGAGGATACCAATAAAGATAATTACAGAGCATGAGAAATAATGTGGACACAGAAGAGATTTCAGGAGATTCCTGATGGTTTGTTGTGTTATTTTAAACACACACACACACACACACACACACACAGAGAGAGAGAGAGAGAGAGAGAGAGAGAGAGAGGGAAGGAGAGAGAGAGAGAAGAGAGATTTTCTTGTATTCTTCACTGTTTTCTTCCTAAGCAACCTGACTGTAAAAGACACTGCTTTCCAAGACTTAACAGTCAGTTACACCAAATCATACAACAATGATAAAAAAGAGAACAGGACGAAACCAAGCTATAGGAAGTTTGTGTTTTCAGACTTCTGCGTTCATTGTTTGCCCAAGGTTTCTACTTCGATAGGAATGAGAATAATAAGATTAGGTCCATAGAGGCAATGTATTTAGGAGAGGTCTGGAGAATCATTTAAATAGGAAATAAGGGAGGGGGAGACAGAAATACGTTTTTATTGTCTGTCTCTGTGACTTTGGCAAACATTCTGGCAGTAATACCAGTAACACCATTTCTGAGAAAGAACTTCGTGATGATGGCTCACATCAGTTTGTATAGGAACCTTAGAGGGTAAGGAGGTCCTGCCAGCAAGTGCTCATGCATTCGTAACCATAGCAACAGCTGAGGGAAGCCTCCAAGCTATGTGTTACTCGGGAATACTGCCTCTGGCCATGGTAGAAGCAACGCTCTCATTCTCATGGGAAGTCACTGTTGTTACTCTTTTAATTTGCCAAGTACATTTCGCTGGATGATGGTGTTGAGATTTAAAATAATCAGTTCCTAGGTGAAAAGAAAAATACAAACAAGAAAAACAAAAAACAAGTGTAGGTTTTTCTCTCTAGTTGTCTCTGAGGAAACCAGCTCTCCCAAAAAGCTACCAAGGGTGACAGCAGTGTTAAGCATGGATTTGAAATACTATCTAATCTGAACCTAATTTAATGCATTCATATTTAATTTAGTGTCACTTAGGAGTAAAAGGTAAGAACAATAGTGTTAATAAGTATAATAAATGTATTTTTTTCCAGTCAGGAAAGAGGTGTTTTTAATTAGCAGTGAGAAAACACACATGCAGTAAGTGAACAAAGAGAGAGCCCCTTTTCAAAGCAGAGGGGAACTTGGGAAGGACACGCCCCATAGAGTTTTCAAGATTGTTGCAGTGTAATAGATGTTTTAGATGACTTGGTTTATTTTTATGTATATAAACTAGAATGAGTTAGCGTGTTAAAATATTCTTTACTGTGTAATAATAGTTGTGCATGAGTCTTTCTATTCATACAATAAATTTTCATTTTAACCACAGAATGCATATTGCACCAAACTAATTAAAACATAATATGACACATTTATATTAATAATATAAAAACATATCAAGGAGCAATAAAGTCCATCCTGCCAATCTGCACATTGAAAATTCATTGATGTAGTTTTTTTAAGTGCTTGATTCAATTAACAGGCAAAATGTTATGGAAATTGATTAAATGAACAAAATGGTCCTCAATAAAAATTCAGTTGTATAGTAGACATCTCTCCATTCTTAGAATGAAAGATCCGGGAAAAATAATTTATGAAAGGAGGTTTATTTTTGGTCACTGTATTGGTTGTTTTAGTCCATGACGTGTTGGCCCATTGCTTCTTGTTCGTCCTGGTCCTGCAGCCCTTTAGCCCCAAATAAACACACAGAGACTTATATTAATTGTAAACTCTTTGACCAATGGCTCAGACTTCTTATTGACTAGCTCTCCTATTTGTTAACCCATTTCTATCAAACCCATGTATCTCCATGTAGTCTTGGCTTATCAAAGAATGCCTGAACCTTTTATTCCTTTATCTGCTACATGGCATCCCTCTCCAGGGCTCCTCTAGGTCTTCCTCGTCCCAGAATTCTCCTAGTCTGACAGCCCGCGTATACTTCCTGCCTGACTACTGGACAATCAATGTTTTATTCGTTAACCAATAAGAGAAACATATGTACGGAAGAACACCCCCATCACGTGACTAAATGTAGGTCTTTTAAAAGTACTCCTCCTTGTGCTGGCTTCACCCCCTGTGCTAGGTGCAGTGTGGTAGAACTGGCCCGAATGCCCGAGAGTTGTTGAGCTGGTCCGCACCTCACCTGGGCAGCCCAGTAGAGCTCAGCCTGGTGGAGTGGGAACCCTGTTGGAGGAGAGCCGATCCCACCCCTTGATGGTTGTGACATGGCTCCGCACCCACCCGAGGTATGGCGCTGTCACTTTGGGTGAGGTAGCCCCCAGGGAAGTGCTGGATAGCTGGCCCTGGCGGCACAGGCTCGGGCACAGGTGCAGATGCAGCAGAGTGGAGAGTTAGTCTAGACAGCTGTCGATCTTGCATGGTTGCCAAAGAGTGACGTGCTCAACAGCGTTCAGCCAGAGCAGAAGGTAGTACAGGATTCTGCATGGTCAGAGTACAGCTGATGGAGAACCCAAATACGTAATGGTCATATTTCCTACGCACAGAGTTTGGCTGATCATGGTGAAAGCATGTAGAAGAGGCGGGGACCTAGATCGCGGGGGAAGGGGGGGGAGGTGAAACCTAGAATTGAGATAACAACTCCAGAGGATTTTTTTTTTCAAAAGGAAATCTAAGAGAAAATACTCAGTTGGTAATGGTGATGAGGATGATCGTAACAGAGTTTAACCAAGCGACAGAAGCCTACAGTGAAAAGTCACCTTAAACTTGAGGGAACATTGGTAGCAATGGTTAGGGGAAGAATTAATCTGGTGTAAACACTTTTCCCCTGGTCATAAAGTACAACTTTTGTTATTTTTCTTGTAGTAATCTATTTGTGATTTATGTTTTATCTGAAAAGATCTCTACTGCTGCTTTATTTTTAAATGTTCTTGCTGAAAGCAGGAAGTCTCTCATGACCAATAGATGAGTTCTTGTTGTTTTATGTCTATGGTGCTTTTTTGTTGAAAAGTCAACTATTCCTTGCAGGCGATGTGTCATTTGGCCAGGTGAGTTTTGAGAATATTTTGAGAACATCTTTGGTTTCAGCAGTGTTGTTGTAAACTGTGTATAAATTAATCTTTTGTTGGTTTGTCTATTGCTATTCATATTAATTCATTTACTCTGGGTTTTATAGCCTTTCTTAAATCTTTGGCTCGGATTCTTCAATTAGTTTTGAAAACTCCACTGCATTGTTTCCTAAATTATTGTTTCCTTAATTCTCCTGGACTGCAACTA